GAAGTGTGACTTCTTATTAGATGTGAATGATAAAGTTGCCATTCGGCACTTTGCGAGACACGGGGCAGGTGAAGTACAGTTCACCTGTTTTTGTGACCTCAGGATATGAAGGAATAGTGTGGTCACTACCCTACTCAGCCAAAATTGGTGTTTTAAATGACAAAAATATGTTTTCTGAAGCTTGACGGGATACGGGGGAGGTGAATTAGAGTACGGCAGATGAAGTAGAGTTTACATGTAACAGTTTGTGAAGGGATATTTTGGTCAGACCCAAGCTCAGACGAAATCGGTGTTTTTAAAGACAAAACATGCTGTCTTAGGTGTAACATCGTTTTAATGTGGGGTCTGGCTTTTGTGACGATGTGTGACAGTAGGGAGGGGATGGGAAAGATAAAAATCGACAAATAAACGTGACGCTCTTTATGGATGACCTCAAAACCCATATTTATTGAAGGATAACGGGTAGTCTAGTAGCTATCAAATCTAGCTACACCATTATATCCAATCACAAAACATACCTATTAGATCTATCTACAGTTTTATATAGAATCACAAAACATAGCTTTTAGATCTAGCGTAAGTAAAAGACTATTGATTTAACTGTCCCTGGCAGGTTCGTCTCTAGCGGCATTTACAGATCCGCCAACAACACCCACAACACCTAAACCAGTTGTCATTAGTAAGTGAAGAGTTTATTCTGAATCACATTTGTGATCAGCAAGTTGAGTTTAATCTGAATCTAATTTGTAATCAGTAATTGAAGAGTTTATTCTGGATGAATTTGTGCTAATTAAGTAAAGAGTTTAAACCATAATATTAAACCCAAATCAGTAATGTTCAGCTTTGACTCCTTTCAGTTTCTTGAAAATTGTTATGTTGCTTACATTTTTAAAGTCCACAGAAAGACAAAATTAACTCTATTTTGTTTAGATTATCTACAATTATTTATAAAGAAAACAATGACATTGCACAACGCAGTATAAATATACTTCATCTTTTTCTCACCAGGACGTGTGAACACCAGGTTTGATCTAGTGTTTGTACTTGATGCAACTTCCAGTGTGTCCAAATCTAACTTTGATCTGATGATAAAATTCATCAAAGATTTCATCTACGAAGACGATATTTACAATGAAAATGTTAGAATTGGTGTTGTCACAAGCAGTAACAGTCATATCCAATTCCATCTTGACAAACACAGTACTAAAGATGACATCATCAATGACACAGACGCCATAGCCTATCCACCAAATGACAACAGCAACACAGCAGATGCCATTAGAACAATGAGGACAGCCATGTTCAATGAATCAAATGGGGATCGTTTAGATGTTGATAACATCGCCATAGTACTTACAACTGGTGTTTCCAACAGCCAAAACATTCAGTCAGAATCTGACGCGGCCAGAACACAGGGCATTCACATCTTTGTTGTTGGCATTGGTCTAAGGGACACCACTCAGTTGGATGTTATCGCCAACAAACCAGTTGACCAAAATAGATTTACTGTCAATGATTTCATACAACTTGAAGATCTGAAGGAGAATGTTTTCCCTGCAGTTTGTAAGTTTATTTTAAATGTAGCTTAATTTTATTGGTTTACTTTAATCTTGTGTTATTTGATAATACAGTTAGACCCTCTCCAACAGTCAATAACCATAATTGATTACATTTGCACTTACAAAGCTTTGTATCGTTATGGTCTGTATCGTTTATTTTATAAAAATGTACATATAGTTCACAATGTCTGTTTATTTTTTGTTTTGTTGCAAATATTGCAGACCTTGTTCAATTTTGACCGCCCCCCCCCCCCGTCCCCCTTTTTTAATGCTGCAACTTTGTTACAATTTTTTTGTCGCACCTGGTTTTGATTTTATTAAGAAAGAAAGGAATGCAAAATATAAAATATAAATTGCTTTTTTAAGGGTTAAATATCGACTTTCTATTTAATATCAATCTTAAAAATTAAAACTACTAAAAATGTAGAAAATAAATTTTAAAAAATAAAGAACATTTTTAATAATAGGTATTTAATCCACATATTTAGTCTAAATATTTTATATTGATTATTGAAAGCATTTTTTGTGTTTTCACAAGTGACTGCTATAAGCAAAAAACGAAGCGAAAAAAGTGACTGTCCAACAGAGCCGGCAGCTGTGGAACTGCAAGTATTCGCCGACCCCAGATCGGGGGGATTCTTCGTCTGCTCTTTGTCAGATTACATGCCTGATGGGGTAAACGCTCTGATCACCTTGCACGTCGATGGTGAGGAGTTTAACAAGCAGATCAACTCATCCACGAAGGAAGGAGAAATTTATTTTAGTGACATAAATAAACCTTTGTTCAATGAAAAGGTAAGAGTGGTGCTTATGCCGGTTGTTCTAGTTGAATTATTCCGTCATTAAAATTTTGGGGACGCCGTGACTGAGCGGTAGAGTGCACGATTACTAACACGAACGTTTTGAGTTCGATTCCATCAAGTTCCCACGAAAACTGATGGAGACTTGAGTTTGGGAAAGTAAACGCGGTTCGGAATAGTATTTACCACAATGTCAATTCTGATCTGTCTTTGTTAAAAGATAAATTCCTCTTCAAATGTCCAATAACTTGCGGCAAATAAAGGACATTTTTTAAGTTTTTATCAAACAGACATAAAATAATATCAAACAATAAGATTGTTTGTAATATCTGCAGGTTTACTGTTCAGTTTTCGTGAAGTATCTCGTACCCGGATCTAAGGAATGTCACGAAGAAAGCAGCAATGTTATAACTCCAACAGCCATCGTACGTTACATTCTAACACAAAAACATTAGTTCTGAGATACAATTTTTTTACTAGGAATTTAATACAAAATGAAACCAAAGATGAATTACAAACATGAAGAACGTCAATGATACAAAACAATTGTTTAACTTTAAAATAGTTTTAAAATGTTTTTTTTAGTAAATAGCCTACATAAAATTATTATAAAGACAATAAATTAATACATACTTTTTAAAATGAACTATTTTTCTATAACTAAGAATTTATGTTGTTTAACATCTTCAACATATTTCTATAAATAAGTATAGAAATATTAAACATAGAAGAAAAGGTTGTATAATCTAATTCATTTTCAAGATTGAATTTAATCTGCTCTTATATATATATATATATATATATATATATATATATATATATATATATATATATATATATATATATATATATATATATATATATATATATATATATATAAAGAGAGATCTTAAATTATGTAACAAATATTTTATACACGTATTATTATAATCTCTGGTTTGGCATTTAAAAATGCATTCAATATTTGCATCTAGTGTCCTCATCAAACTACCTTAAGATTAGTTGAAGGTCAAGGTCCTGTAAATCTGGTCGTTAAATTGACTGCTCCACCAGAACTTTACTGTACTGGTAGACCAGGAAGTCCGTGTGATGTGGAGGTCGTCACAGAGATTCTTCCAGGCAGTGATGAACTCAAGTAAGAGAGATAGTAATATTTTTTAGCTCAGGTCTTTCTATTTTAAATGTATCTAAGTGGTTGATTTTAAATGGTAAGCGAAAGAGTGGAAACATTGCGGATGACGCAAGCTATAATATGGAACAACATGATCATAGTTAATCATCTCAAAACTATGTACACGTTTTCCTAAGCAAATAATAACACGACTTGTGTCTTTGATCACTTGAATTTTTAAATAAGAAATAAAATAATTATATTACAAGAGTAGCTGTCCCTAGGTTGATATAGCAGGGCTGGTTCAAAAGGAGATAAACTATAAAAATTAAAATATTATCTCGCGTATGTCCCTTATTGCGGATAAGAGAAAGAGGCAAATAAAACACACTTAGACAGTAGACATACCAAAACTCTAAAAGCCATTCTTGATCGATATTTAAACAAGAGTTTAAATACAATACAAATCAAATAAAATTTAACAACTTGTTTTTTTTAAATACATACTATAATGGTCTCATTTTAAAAAATTGCACCGAAAAGAAATTACAGTTTATTGAAGGTGGTTCTGAAAAAAACTAATTGTTTGAGAATTTGCTTTAGTTCATAATATCAGATCAGAATATTTTACGCTTATGCTGTCAAATTATTTGACGTAGCTATTGTTTGTATTTCTGTGGCATAAAGAAAAAAAATAGCCCACATATCAACTATTCAAATACTTGGTGTAATCAATCGCGATTGTATTTGAATATTTTAATAAACTCGGTATGTCATTGGAAATCGAGGAAATTTAATTGTAGACAGTTCTCTCATCAAATAATGCAATGAGAATTTAAAAAAAAATATTCTTCATGGTTTAAAACTGTATTACATTTGTGTTGAAAGTTTGAGAATATATATTTTTGATAATTTTGCATCAGCCCATTACTGAACATTTTCGTAGTCCATCATGGTATCTCCCAATTTTAACAATTAATTATTACTGGCCTAGCATATTTTACAATGCAATGTTTAATTAAGTGCTGTGTTAACTGATTAATATATATAATTTCATCCATTACTAGATCTATACGTAGTTTGATCGTTTAAGAAGATGCATTCTAGCCCTAATGTTATTATTGTATAAAATCAAATTCAATTGGAATCAAACCTTTTTCCAGTTGCTCTAACACTGAAATCATACCTCAAGTTGTATTTGAAACTAAAAGCTGTGGACTGAAATTTTCTTATGATAATTGGAAGGATGGAATCATCATTCCAGTGAAGGCAACAATAGACAGAATCATAGATGGGGACAGATTTTTAACCATACAGACCTACTTCACATTTAATGGCCAGGTAATAGATAAATATTTTGTCTAATACTTTTATCGATGTTGCTGTTTGACAAAATCTGAAAAAAAAAATATTTGTATAATAATAAGCTTTTAAATGCATAAAAATTGAAAAATAAATAAAAAGTATTTCTATAGTAAAGATGTATGTCGCTCATGAAACCGCTAAGTTAAACATTTTGAGCACAAATCTTTATTTTTCACAATAATGACTTTAGTATAACGTTTGTTAATACCTACTCATACAGCAAAGTACCCAAGAGAAGTGCGATGATATACAAGTCACTGTTGTTGATAAGGACAAAACTACTATTTGCCACTCAGTCAATGACCCTCACATTGCAACATTTGATAAATAGTAATTGCTTCTTTTTATACATGTAAAACATATTCTAGTTAGCATTTGTATACCTTAATTATCGACATATTTCATATCATTGTATTAAACTATTATAATAAAAGCATAGTTATTTTAACTATTTTTTAACATTATAACAATAAATATAAATATCATATTAATGTGGGTTTATTACTATTTTAATTGAGAATATATAACTCGTAAATTTAATTTTTTTAACAGAAATTATTTTTTCATAATATTTTTGAATAATTCTTTTTATACAAAGATAAATAAATCATATTTCCATAGCTACTATGACAACCATATTTTAGGAGATTTCATTCTCTACAAACACAAAACTCTTCCTTATCAGGTGAGATTTTTATATACTATCCTTCGTATATTAAAACGTAGAAATTGTATTGAAAACAAGCTTAATAAAGAACACACTTAGATTCGTCAATGAAATGTTTAAAAGGCAAATAGCCTACATGTTTTATGTGTGTATTTGTTTTTTAAATTGTAAAATTTATCATTTAGTGTTAAGTAAATTTTAAAAGCAAGTTTTCTTAATTAATTTCAACAAAAACATGAATGCTTAAATTATTACAAATTTATGAACAGTTATCGTTCTTATTTTACGTTTGTAAATAAAATCCAACTAATCAACAAAACGTGAACTATAAAATGTATTTATTCCCAAAAGTTTTAAAATGTATTCATTCACAAAAGTTTTAAAATGTATTCATTTACTAATGCTTTAAAATGTATTTATTCCCAAAAGTTTTAAAATGTATTTATTCGCAAAAGTTATAAAATAATTTATTCCCAAAACTTTTAAAATATATTCATTCACAAAAGTTTATAAATGTATTTATTCGCAAAAAGTTTTAAAATGTAAACATTCACAAAAGTTTTAAAATGTAGTTACTCACAAAAGTTTTAAAATGTATTTATTCCCAAGTTTTAAAATGTATTCATTAACAACAGGTCCAGGTAAATTACCGCTCATGTTCATCATCACGCATGACCGCCACGTGCAACTGCATCACTGCTGTACAGTCAGGAGATGACGTCGTCGTCTTTAAGTAAGTTTGTATATTAGCAAAGATCTGATATAACAATCAGTACATGCAATATCATTCGTTCATTCATTCAATCGACCATTTCTTCGTATATTCATTTATTTATCCGTTCCTATTTTTATTCGTTTATCCATTCATGATAATTTCATTGATTCTATGTATCGATTGATTCATTCTATAAAGCATACTTTTATCTGTAGTTTTATTTAAATCAGTGATCTAGAGGTTCTTCGTCCATTCGCTTGTTCTTTTGTACGTTTCTTCGTATGTATGTTTTTTCGTCTGTTTTTCGATTCGTTTGTTTTTCATTCTTTTGCTCGATAGTGCATTTATTTGTTTGTATTTTCATTTATTCAATAATCCATTTATTATCTTCTTCGCTTAATCGTGTATTCGTTTATTGACTTATTCGGAATTTCATTTACTCGCTTTACGTTAAATCTCTTTTTTGCATATTCGTGTTTTCTTTTTTTAATTTACTGTGATATTTCACTTAATTAATCGTGTAAACCTTTCACGATTAAGAACTTTACCATTTAAACTTATACTGAACCAAAGTTATATTATTAAAAATTTCATAAAAAACTTTTAATAACAAGCTTGTATGTAATAATGCACTAAAAAGTAGAAAATAAATTATAGACTACTATTTAAATAACTATAAAGAAAAGCGTGGGTCACTTTAGTATCTATTGGATACCTTTACTAATATTTGAGAAGAGACCCACGCTTTTCTTTATAGTTATTTAAATAATAGTGTAGAATTTATTTTCTCCTTTTTATTGCATTATTACATAAAAGTTTGTTATTAAAACGTTTTTTATGAAATTTTTTTTAGTACTTTTCATGTTTTTATTTACAATAGAATTACATGACTAAAACCCATTGCTGAACGTGATGACGCGTGTTGAGTAGTTGGATAGAACTGCCTACTAATTCGGTCAAAATTTTAGTTAATTCATAAAAAAATTAATTAGGCTTCCAAGTCAAATTGAATGTCATGATGCATTGTCTTCATGTCTTGACCCACGTACCAATTACGAACCGTATATGTCAATTAGAAGTGCCTGCAATTTCGCTCCGGCGTTTCGATCTAGACAGACAGACTGACGACTGACGAGGAAGTGAATTAAATAAAAGCTTGTAAATTTTTTTTCCATTAAAAACGTTTTAATAACAAGCTTTTATAAGTAATGCACTAGAAAGTAGAAAATAAATTATAGACTACTATTTAAATAACTATAAAGAAAAGCGTTGGTCACGTTAGTATCTATTGGATACCTATACTAATGTTTATGAAGAGACAAACGCTTTTCTTTATAGTTATGTAAATAGTAGTCTATAATTTATTTTCTACTTTTTAGTGCACAGAGGTAGTGAGTTAAATAAAAGCTTGTAAAAATATTGTGTATTTAGTTCTTGTGACGCTAGACAAAATAAGCAACGACCAGATGCGGCAGCTATTGATGTCCAGATTTTCATCAACGGCGAGTTGACACCTGGCACTAAGATAAAACAGCTTGCTGGAGGTCAACAGTATGAGGTTGGAAATCAGCTTTGTAGTTATTGCTCATGTCTATAGCTAGGATATATTACATTGTGTGTATCTATAGTTAGGGTATATTACATTGTTAATATCTATAGCTAGGATATATTATATTAGGTGTGAATTTAATTTAATCCAAATTACTTTCTGGCATGGTTTCGCTATTATATTATTTGACACTGATTTTTCCTGGCTTTTTTTGGGCTGCTGTTCTGTCGTGAAAAATGTAATTTTGATATTTTACTGCTGCAGAAAGCTTCGATTTTTACCAACAACCCGTAAAAATGAAATTTAATCCTCATCAGTTAGGGGTCATCCATAAATGACGTCACACTTTTTTTGACGATTTTTACCTTCCCCCTCCCCTCCGTCACACGTCATCACAAAAAGCCAGACCCCCCCCTAAAATGACGTCACACCTGAACCTACAACTGCAAATTGCAGTTGAATTTTTCTTAAAACATCGATATTTTTCCAAAATCTTGTCAAAACTCAGTCAACATAGAGTATTTTGATCAATTCCTATTACAATTTATCTAAAACGCGAAATAACGTCTAAAATTCGTTTTCTAATATTGCTTTTTTATAATGCAAAAGCATGACGTCGCACCATCTAACCCCCCCCCCCCATACCCCATCATAACACACCGTCACAAAATTACCCCTGCTCCCGCCTCGCGACGCCTCTGCATACAACCTTTTGTAACAATAGGCTATATAAACAAAAGTAGTAGTGTTACTCTTTGTGAAATTTTGAAAAAAAAATTTGTACCGTTTATGTTTCAGGTACTTCTACCAACAGGAACAGTTGTTGCTGTGATGCCCAGCCAGTTTACCTTCATGAACATCTTTATTACAGCATCACCATCTGACTTTAAGGAAACAGAAGGTGATGCAATTTTTTTTAAATTCTATAGCCAGAATGAAATATATGATTCTATCTCCCTTATTGTGATTTTATTTTCAATATACATTACGGCGTAATAATATTCATATATGTTAAAATTTTGTAATTTCAATTCATCATGAGTTGAATAATTTAAATATTAAAATTTACATACAATTTAAATATAATCGTAGCATAGACCAGATCTTTTGTTATATACTTTGTTATATTTTCTAATCCAAACACGGTCCAAATCCGTTTCTAACATAACTTTCTAGCAAATCCGTTTCAAAAAATTCTCTCTTATATTGTCAACTTATAGGACTGTGTGGTAACTTCAACGGTAAGAAAGACGACGATTTGGACAACATTGATGTTGATATATTTAACAGCAAATGGAGGTTGGTACAAATGAGAAAAGACTACTACAGGCATATTTTAAAACTAATTTTTTAAACTTGAAAATATAATAACCATTCAAATTTAAAATCTTCTAAATTAAACTGATTAAACAAAACCCTACCAAACAAACCAACACGAGGACTTAACATCAACAGAGCCAACGACACAATCTATTGTGGCGTGCCACCACAACCAGCTCGAAAACCATCAACGTACAGTAGCTGCACACAGGGCTTAAGTCCAGTCTGTAAACCTGGCATGGATGTGTCCAGGTGCCCATCAGATGGTAACAAATATTTTAAGTGGTTTCGCATAAAACTACAATATAGTTAAAATAATAGGTGTACAGTGGCTAGTCGTTCTGATGCGATTTTATATTTTTTGTTCATATATTTAGCTAATGACATAACAGCTGCCCTTGTACTGCAGTCAAAGAAATCACAAACATCATGTAGCACAGAGTCAGTTAGTAGAAAGAAGAGACAGGCCAACTTATTTGACGTTTTGGTTGGTTGATTTTAAACATTTCTACATGTGTGTCCCTTCCTCTTTTCGGTAGTTGGAGGATAAAAAAAAAAACCTGCTAAATTCATGTTCAAATAAAAGCTATTAGATTTTAAAACCAATTCGTAGTTTGAAATATTGTTTTAGATTTTTGGCTGTTTCTTTTTATTAGCTTTTAAAACGTTAAAAATAGTTTTAACAACATCCCAATTTTACAATAAATAATTTGATATTCCATCAGTCAAAACGCGAATATCACTCAGCTTGCTTTAAATCGACAGGAAAATTTAAAATTCAAATAAAATATATTATTTTACTTTCTTTAATTTTGAAGTTAATCATTTGGAATGTGGAATTTTCGATAAATCATTTATTTATATTTATCTATAGTTTTAATAATATTTGTAAAACTACTGTGTTTTAAGACATAAAAATAATTGAAATATAGTAAAAATTTCAGTAGATCAAGATTCATTTATCATTAATTTGAACAATGAATTTTAAAATTCTGTTCATCCTTAGAATACAAGAATAACAAGCTACACGTTAGATGAAGCTAAAAGAAACTGTTCAGATTACTTGAAGAATAGTAGGACAGTCAAAGCCTGCACAAATCAACTTTCAGATGACAGAGTTAAGGAGAGTATCACCAACTGTGCTTATGATCTGGTGGTAAATAAAAGAAAACATGTATTTATTCTTTTATACATCAAAACAAAAGTAAAAAAAAAAAGCTTTTTCTTTCATTAGAAAAAAATGTGCTTTTTTATGTCAATTCGTTTACATATTTGCAAAATATTTGTTCAAAATAAATTGTGTACAGAGCACATGACTGTTTTATTAAATCCTTTGTATAGAGCAGAGTACTATTTATTGGGCTGTCACAAGTTAGTTCTAGCATTTAAAAAATGTTATCAATTAAAATTTCATCAACAACAGAGCACAGGACTGTTTGATTGGGCTGTGTCACATGTTAGTTCTAGCAGTTTAAAAATGTTATCAATTAAAATTTCATCAACAACAGAGCACAGGCCTGTTTGATTGGGCTGTGTCACATGTTAGTTCTAGCAGTTTAAAAATGTTATCAATTAAAATTTCATAAACAACAGAGCACAGGACTGTTTGATTGGGCTGTGTCACATGTAAGCAACCTGGCAGAGGAGTGTATCACACGAGCTGAACAAAACCAAAGTTCATGGACAGGTGAAGGTGACACACCTGGTGAACCTGTACTTCCTCAAGCCATTGTCACCCAGCTGTGTGTCAGGGACTGTGGGGACAACGGACAATGTCTCAACTGTAAGATGGGTTTCATTTTTTTCAATATAATTTTTTTAAATGAGTTTAAAATTTTCAACAATGGCAGGATTATTAACGAAAACAATTTAAATTGACAGTTAATTCTTTAGTTGTTTAAAAACTTCAATTAGCACATAGCTGATTTTTATTCTTCCAGCATTTTGTAAATGTAGCAACGGTTACTTTGGTGAAAGTTGCCAGTTTGGACCCAGCACCGTGCCACATGTATTTGGAGTGGATGAAGCTTGTGATATCCAGGAATCTTTCTGTGAAACCGTCAAGATAGATGGCGATTTCTTCACTTCTTCAGATAATCTTTCCTGTCATATTAACTATGCATCAGTAAGAAGATTACTTTGTTATTACAAGCTTTAAGATTTTAAAAAAAATTATTATCTATACGCATTGATTTTTTCAAACTGTTATTAAGAATACATGCTATATTCCGTGTAAAAATTAAAAAAAATGCCAAATTAAAAAAAATTCATCCTCTACAGGTTGACACTCGTGCAAGAAAAACAGAGAGCAGTGCTGTAGTGAGAGCAGAGTACATCAGCATGTACCAAGTTGGATGTACACTCCCTACACGACGCAGCGCCTACATCACCGTCACAAACGATGGCGTCCATCAGAGTGAAAATGTTTACCTTCATGTTGTCCACAACTCCAGCTGTCAGACGTGTGTCATCAATGACAACAAAACTGATGTTGACTGTCACATGATAGTAAGTGAAATAAACTGTCAAAAATTACAAAAGCTTAAGGAATCTAATTTCTCGTGTAATTTGAAATCAATAACTCTGATCTATTCTGGCTGATAATTTTTTGCGCTTTACAAATTGTATCTGGCCCAAAATGATGTGTGCTTTCTGTATTGTTTGAAAGTAATGTAACATGTGGCTATGCACATACTTTTATTTTGTACACAACATCAGACCATGTTGAGCTCTGACCGCCACCAATTTAATGTGTTAGTTAAACCAGAGCAGTAGATTATTTTAAGATACCTAACTATATTATTCACAGTCGAAGTGAAGAAAATAGACTACTACAGGCTTATTTACCTGGTTCCTACATGAATTGTGTGACATCAATTCAAAAACTTCTAAAGGACAGTCTTTATGTTTCCTAATGAGGGGGGGGGGGGGATTCTCGCCAAAGCGAATAACTATATATATACATTTTTTGGGAGAGTCGGGGGGGGGGGGGGGGGGTCGCAAACTTCATTGTTCGCCCGGGCGTCGGAATAAGCCGTCGGGATAAACATATTAGAGATAGGATGCCGTGGCATGGTGGTAGAGCGACCGACTAATAAGCCGAAATTCTCGAGTTCGGATTCAGGGTACGACAGTCCGAAGGATGCCTATGAGTTCACCAAGCTGTAATGCTGTCCCCACTATCCTTTCTTATGCCGGGAATATTATAATGATTTTGTTAAACTAAATTTTCCTCCACCTAATCTAAACACAATAAAGTCTCCACATTAAGTTGAAAACATTCAAATCTAAATGGTTTTACTATTTTACCAAACAATGTCTGTCATCAGACAAATGCCTGCGTGATAGAAGGCCAGTGCTATTTAGACTACCAGGAGGACTCTGTGGATTCTTGCAACATCTGTCACCTGGACAGTAGCAACACTACATGGACCAGACGGACTGGTAATTTTATTGCTACATTTCACATATTTTATCGTATAAGATCAACACATATTCACATACATTGATTATATATCAACTATTTAAACCGATTCTTTAATGCTTGATTTAAATTAAATAATCTCGTAAAATGTCTCATTATTACCTCTGTTATATGATGCAATGTTATTTACTGTATCTAATACACTGATATATCGTTGTAGATTCTGAGTGCGTTGATGGTTTGTCTGAAGGGACGATTATTGCTATCAGCTTTGTCTGTGTGCTTTTGATTGTGGCACTAGTGCTCGTCTTGATTATCTACAGAAAAATGAGGTTCGGGTTAAACTGATCTTAACATTTTCAATTCATTAATGTAGTAAATATATCTAAAGCTTTCCAATTAAAAAAAAAATGGCATATTTTATTTTTTACTTTTTCAGAAATATTTGGGTTTATAAATTACTTGTTCATTCTTTTAATATAAAATGTTTCCAGAAAAAAAGCGCAATTGGAAAACTGCTCAACGAAAAACTGTGCAGACAGAAAATTGCGCAAATACAAACTAACAATGCTAATAAACTATTTTTTTTCTATTTAGAGGAAATATTATTTGTATCATACTACAAGGTACATATAGTCAATTTTTAATGTCTATAAATGATCGATTTAAGGAAGCAAAAATGCCCTCGCGGACTTTTTTTGTGCGCAGTTTTATGTTGCTCGTCTTTTCGGTCACCAATACAAACATCTAGTCACCTTAGCAAAAACACTGGTGTTTTAGCTGTTTGATATTAATAGGAATCAATTGTTAGATCTAATTAAAACGCTTCCGACACTGATTTAGTTTCCCGAAAGTAAATGTCACTGCACAACATGTCTTATTGCTATGGTTATTAACAACTTTGACGTATCAAACGTGTTGTGCTTCAGAAAAGTGGTTTAAAAATGAATTCGATTGTCTTTAGATTAACTATTACTAAAGATGGCGGTTGTGATGATATTCAGCTAATTAAATGGGGTGGGAGTTCAGATAATAATTCGTTGTTTCAGCTAAGGAGGAATCCTTTACTGGGTTTTTAAAAATGTTTGTTTGATTTGAAATAATTTAAAACGTTCAATTCACAATAGTAATTTTTAAGTTTAAATTTGCTGAGGGGTCATCCATAAATGACGTCACACTCGTAGGGGGGAGGGGGGGTCCGTAATTTTGTGACGATGTGTGATGAGGGGGAGGGGGGGAGGTTCAGATGTTGCGACGTCACATTTTTGCATTATAAAAAAGCAATGTTAGAAACCGAATTTTAGACGTTATTTCGCGTTTTAGATAACTGTTTTAATAAATTGTAATAGTTTAGACAAGATTTTGGAAAAAAATCGATGTTTTAAAAAAATTCAACTGCAATTTTGAGGGGGATTGTAGGTTGAGGTGTGACGTCATTTTAGGGGGGGGGGGTCTGACTTTTTGTGACGACGTGTGACGGAGGGGAGGGGGGGGGATGTAAAAATCGTCAAAAAAAGCGTGACGTCATTTATGGATGACCCCTGAATAATTTCATTTATTTTTATATTCCTAATTTAGAAGAGCTGAGATTTATCCAGAAGCCAAGCTTTTAAATAATTAACCTGCACAGCAATAAATTCAAAAGACTACAGGTGGAACTGAGTGAATCAAAAGAAGAGATAACATTAGTTTAAGTTTAATAGTAACTTTAAGCCTAACATATTTTATACACTTATTGTTTTCACTAAATCATCCTTAGAGTACGTTTAACTTTCAATACACTAATGGCAAATTATTTTAAATTATTTTAATACTCTTGCACTTTAAGCTGTTTAGCTTATAATAATTTTAATTTTTTTTTTACTTTATATACCACCTGAGTACAATTTACTTTTTATAGAACTTACTTATCTACTTACATGTGTACAATTTAAATATTTATTCAAAAACTCATTTTCAAACCTGTTTTTCTTTGTTTGCCTGCTAAATTTGATTACTTTGAAGAAGAATAAGTTTAAACAAGTGTACCAAACTCAATTACGAGAACATTAATTGTAAAATAGCTCTTCATCAAGCCCTTAAAACCACTTTAAATACAATTATTGTATTCCACTTGAAAGAATTTTTAATCAGGTTTTTTTTTTATGGAGTATCATATTTTGGAACTCACGTCTAAACAAAATACAGTGTATTTAGTTTAAACAGAGGGCTATTTTGTTTTGCTTTTACACAATTTTTTCCCCACTTTTTGTACGGTGTTTGGGTCTAATTCTTCTATAAATATAAAAATATAAATTAAGAAATATATATATATATATATATATATATATATATATATATATATATATATATATATTTCAATATGGGTACATTTTTAATCTTAGTGTGTTCTGTAGTTTACACTTTTATCAAGTTTTTTTTAATCATGTTCGATATGCAAATGTAATGTAATCACATGTAAAATAAATCGAATGTTTTTGTTTACATTAAGGCGTCTTCCATCAGTTTTTTTATTTGTTTTTTATCCTGATCTATTAATGCATTCGCCAGAATGGTTTATTGTATTGTAGTGGTTATTCACCTTACCCCCATATGTTACCTCCCTTTGATCACTTTTGTTCTTCCTTTAAATGTTGCCAACTTTTCACATCGCTAATAAATATTTTGTATTTTATTAGACCGACGTTAATACTTTAAATCAGGTAAATCAACCGTTCTTGTAAAAGCATTTAAAATTACTCTATGGTCGTTAGTTGACCTTAAAGAAATAGCGTGATTTGTGTTGGATCAGTTGGTAGAAGAAAAGTTGTTTGATCAAAATGGATGTGTGATTTTAATTGATGTGGTATATAATGGAAGAGTTATTATCGTAATTGGTGAACTGATGTGTGATTATATGTATCATTAAAATGAGTTAGACTTCAAGTACCAACTTAACAATACACCGATAGAAACCCAACATAACACCTTTTGTTACCCAGCCAGTACCGTAACACAACAAAACTCCTGATGTCACCAATATATCACCAATATAAATAATATAGCACCTAATGTAAGCCAAGTATTACATGAGTAAATGTAACTTAACCTAATTTAACCCAATATACAGCCGTGTGACATAATATCTGCAGTAACCCTAAATAAAAACTTACATTGCCTGGGGGTTAAGCTGTTACAAACATCGAAGCCAACACAATCGAACGTTACCCGGAACTTTAAATGTTACAATAATAAAATCAACATACCTTTATCCACCACACCAGTTCGCCATACTCCATACACTCACACTCACGCACACACGCACACACATACATACACCCCCCACACACACAAACACACACACACCGCCTCACTCCGCCCCGCCACATCCCCCAGTCCACCCTGATTTGGCGTCTACCTTCCATGCCCTACGCTCGCCGTAACATTTGAAAAGCGCAGGTAATCGAATCCCACTGGCATCGAGTGCCTGCGGGAATCAAACGGTCCGCATTCAGGCACATCATCCGCTACGTTTGCGGTTTTTTACCTGGATCAGCAAAAGGTAAGTCTATTTTTTTTTGTTAAAGCTAAATTTGAATCGATGTGAGAATCTGTACCTGGACCTCTTTCATGTGAGGTAGAGCCATGGGCTGTGTTTGTGTGTTGTTGAGTTACACAACATGATTTTAAAAATTAATTCCTTATGATATCCTGTGCCTATGTGTTGTTTTTTAAAGATTAATTCCCTATGATATTCTGTGTCTTTGTATTTTCCAGTCATACAAAAAGTTTTTACAACAAATTCCCTATGTTATTATGTATGTTATCGAGTCTCACAACAATTTTTTCAAAATTAATTCCCTATATTATTCTGTGTCTGTATGTTTTTGAGTTACACAAGTTTTTTAAAATTAATTCCCTGTGATATTCTATGTCTGTGTGATGTCCAGTTACACAAGTTTTTAAAACTGATTCACTATGATATTCTAAGCAGGATTGCATTAAATAGTTTCTTTTTTCAATGTGTTTTTGTGGAACAGAAATAGTTTGATCTCGTCCTTGGAGCCGTAGTTATCAGAAATCTAATGAGATAACAGTGAGTTGATATAATATGCTCAGCTTAAGTGACTAGTTATAGATTTATAGGTTGCTTTATATGTGCCTATTAGCTAGGAAGTTTAATATCAGTATATTTTGCATAGGCCTAGATATTAGGAAATCTATTATAGGCTGTCTATTTTATTTAATGGTTGTAGTACTTTAAATCCATTTAGTAACAGTAATGTGTAGTTTAGATACTGTAATATTCGTGTAGCATTGGGCTACATCGGTGTTGTAAAAATGTTTACAGTACCAGCAGCCGTAGCTTATCGTTGTAACGACATCGTTGTGTTTTGAATATTTTCGTATTTTAAACACAGTTTATAATTTATTCTTATAAAGAACTTGGATTTGTATCTAGAGAGATTTTTTTAACTCAATGTGTCCTTGCCAAACTTATTTTTTTTCTTTGATTCTGACACGGACTTTGCTCCACCAAAAATCTCTTAATTTACCTCAATTTGCATAATTTACCTGATTAATTAATATAGGTTAATACGATTAGAAACATTCAGTCTAAAACTCACAACGTCCACACTGTGTATGTTTAACTTTGTTTTCTACCGCCATTAATACAGATCCCCAAATAAACAAACTTTTTTTTTACTTTACTCGTACCATCCAAGATGTCTGCTTCAGCTTGTCCTGTTTTTTTTTCCACACATATCATGAAACGAATCAGCAAATAAAAAAACCCACTGATATTTTACCCCATGCAACTGTATTTTTTATCATGACGCAATCTTAGGATAAGACTGACGCAAAACTGTACTTATGGTTTTAATGAAGGAAAGGGGCGAGACGGGGCAAATGATGAATGAAGTTTGGCCCAGAGGCAAGGGAGATAATTCACGAGGTTAAGAAGTAGAAATATTCAGGAAATCAAAACAGGACACAGGTGGGAGTGGAAGGGGTGGGGATGTGAAGTTGGGGGGGGGGGGTACTTTTCCAGGTATGTTGTTGATGTCTGAAGCAGGTAGGTTAAGCTAGAATAAGAAACTGCAGGAAGAAACTGGACTTAGTTCAGCGTGATAGGGTGATGTATGTTGACCATGCCAGCAGTTGTAGTAAGGGGAAAAAATAGGTTAGGAGTGAGGGTTGGAGTGAGGGTTGGAGTGAGGTTGGAATAAGGGTTGGAGTGAGGGTTGGAGTGAGGTTGGAATAATGGTTGGAGTGAGGGTTGGAATAAGGTTGGAATAAGGGTTGGAGTGAGGGTTGGAATGAGGTTGGAATAAGGGTTGGAGTGAGGGTTGGAATGAGGTTGGAATAAGGGTTGGAGTGAGGGTTGGAATGAGGGTTGGAGTGAGGTTGGAGTGAGGTTAGGAGTGAGGGTTGGAATGAGGGTTGGAGTGAGGTTGGAATAAGGGTTGGAGTGAGGGTTGGAGTGAGGTTATGAGTAAGTTAGGGGTGAGGGTAAGTGTGGATATGAGTGAGAGAACTATTCGTCTGGCGTTACATGGTTGTTCAGTCTTCTTCTTCGTTCTTAATTCTAGTGCTGGGAGAAATTCCCTTCAACGCTATTACGCGTCAACTTGATATACGCCATTAGGCCGTTGATTACGATTTCAGCCTGTTTTTCTTCTTGGGTTTGTTTCCATAGCCTTTGTCTAACCAAGAACAAACCACAAGGAAGCAGTTGTTTGATTAGCTGCCCCCAGCTATCGAGCCTCATCTACAGGGGGGTGTGGGGGGGGAGGGTTACAGTGATAATGATGTATTGGTGCTCTCCCCATTAGGATTTTTTCTAATCCAGTTCTGAAACAACTTGCTCCAAAACAGCTTGTAGCCTCTAAATATTTTTCAGTAAACAAATTGCCCGCTAATTAATCGCACAGTTCGTCGCGAATAGTGGTTACATAATCCTACAGTTTACAAGTACTGGTTAAATAATCCTAGCGTGAGCAAGTACTGGCTAAACAATCTTGTAATGAGCAAGTAGTTGCTAAATAATCCTGCATTTAGCAGCAAAAACTGGTTAAATAATCCTGCAATGATTAAGTACTGGTTAAAATAATTTGGTAATCATTTACTGGTTAAATAGTCTTGTAGTAAACATGCACTGGTTAAATAATCCTGTAGTAAACATGCACTGGTTAAATAATCCTGTAGTAAACATGCACTGGTTAAATAATCCTGTAGTAAACATGCACTGGTTAAATAATCCTGCAGTAAACATGCACTGGTTAAATAATCCTGTAGTAAACATGCACTGGTTAAATAATCCTGTAGTAAACATGCACTGGTTAAATAATCCTGTAGTAAACATGCACTGGTTAAATAATCCTGTAGTAAACATGCACTGGTTAAATAGTCCTGTAGTATACATGCACTGGTTAAAGAACCATGTAGTAAACATGTTCTGGTTAAATAATCCTGTAGTAAACATGTTTTGGTTAAATAACAAAAAATGCACACACTCAAAACGTGAGTACTTGAACCTATTGAAGCACGCTGCTGTGAAGTGGCCATTGAATGCTGACACTTGGAGTAAATATGCAGCGATGTATGACATACAAGTATTGCAGTAGACATCATAATGGTGCACACACCCGACTACACGTTTCAACTATGAACATGTCATTGACCTCTTATTTCATATGATATTTTTGGGTTTCCATATTTTTATTCGTGTGTGCTTGCACAGTTCAAAAATTATTTCTAATGATATTTTTAGCATTTGTACTACATATAGTTTTACAGCATAAGTTGGCTATGTACAAGGCAAGCTGCTCAATGGCGTTGGTAAATGTATGCATTGTCTTGCATCCACGGAGATTCGCGGGTAAATAAGAAAACCCCATAGCAATAAAAAAAAATGGGAATTCCCGAAAGTGAAGATTATTTTCTTTCCTTTCGATATCTTATATAGGTTATTAATAGACATGTTTGCTATTAATAGTAACAGCAGGCTGTGTCGGTATTAAGTAGCCTACAGTAACTTGTTTAAAAAAAATGTACTCATAGACTTAATAATGCCTTCACGCCCTTAATAATTGCGGCTCAATTAGACTGGTTAAATGTGACGTCTGCTAGATCTGGCCCTCCCCACTTGAGCTGGTGATCTCGCCCTGTGGTGGTGAGCTTGTGTCACCACGCCCTTACGCGCTGGTCTGTGCCGTGCATTCAGACGTCTGCTGTTAGAGTTGGTGTTACTCACTGCTGGAACGGCTGGAGTACTGGGTGGATGTTGTCGTGGTGTGGGTGGTGCTGGGTTACACTAAGGCGTGAGTACTGCTAGCTTTAACCGTGAGTAATGGATGATGTTTGTTTGTTTTTTTCTTTAAAAACAGTTTGTTGTTTGATTTTACAATGTTTGTTTGCATGTGTTTGTGAGGTCATGGCCTTATTACTACTCTAACCCCAACCCTAACTACTATTTATACTCATACCCTCATTCTTAACCTCTCCTA